CGGCGTTAAACTCTAAATGTTTGTGTTAACTGTAAACTTATTAAATTTACGTATAATAATAATTACGTACTTGATTTAGTCAAATCAAAACTAAAATGATATATTATAAAACAACTTTTTTTGTATTCAATTAAGAAAATATCTCTATTAGTAATAGCTTCACTAGAAGACAGACGGACAGACAGACACGCATAAAGTTAAACCTCTTGAAATACAAATATATTATTTTCTTTCTTTTTTGCTTAAAGTTCAAAAGTACCTACTATGTGTCTAATTGTAATAAATGATTTTGACTTTGACTTTAGGTTCGAGTGACAACGGGACTTTTATAAGTAGTTTTTTTTTTTCAATAAACACATTGTGTGTTGTTTTTCGCAGTGTGAGTGAGGTTATCGGAAGCTTAACATTGAAGACCAATTCCTAAATCCTCAAATTCATCATCTTCATAGTCGAAAACGGGTGACAACGCATTAGTTTTGTGGTTGAACAACAACAGCCATTTGGTGTTTTCAGCCATGGGCGGAGTCGATTGCTTATCAGGACGGTAAGCAATCGTCGTCGCCATTCCTTATAAGAACTAAAATATGAATCTATACTAATATCATAAAGATGTAAAATTTGTAAGTTTGTATGTAGGGGGTAATCTTCGGAACCGCTGGCTGGTTGGATTGCCAAAATTCTTTCACTGATAGATAGCTACAATGTTCCTGAGTGCTACAGGCTATAAAATTTACGCTACTATTAAATTGAGCCGACCAGTGGGTTGTTGCTGTCACTAAACCGCGCGAGGGTAGCTAGTACTTAATACAAATATATTTTTTATATAGTCGACAAACGAGCATACGGTTTACCTGATGGTAAGCAATCAGTGCCGCCCACGGACATTGGACACTCGCATTACCAAAGTACATTGTCGGCCTTTTAAGTATAAGGGTTTCAGATATTTAAGGGTTAGGAGAAGCGGGAGGGCGAGGGATTGGGCGTCCGGAATATGAATATGGATAATATCGATTTCTCAGGCGAAGTTTTTGCTGCAAAATATTACTTACATAACTTATTACTCAAAATTTAATTAAGTGTGCATTTTCCACCAATTCACTAGGTATGTTTCCTTTCCCCTTATTTTTCTTTTATCGAAGTAACCTGGTTGTCAGGGCGCCCACTTCTGATGCATCGAGGAGCGGGTTTTATACCTAACAAAGTACCTAATGCGACATTTTCTGAGTTAGGTGTAGTTTCTATAATTATTAAGACACCACTGACATACGGTGAAGGAAAACATCGTGAGGAAACCTGGACCTACAGTTTCTAATTTAACCATAAAATCGCCAATCCGCCTTGAGCAAGTGTGGTGATTAATACCCAATTCTTCTTCATGTAAGAAGAGGCTTTTGCTCAGTTGTGGGCACTTATAGGCTAAGAATGATATGTCAGTCACCTTTCAATTGTCATCATCATCAGCCTATAAATGCCCACTGCTGAGCAAAGGTCTTTTCTCATACGGAGAAGGTTAGAGCATTAATCACCACGCTTCCTCAATGCGGGTTGGCGATTTCTAACTTGTATTTAGAAATTATAAGTCCAGGTTTCCTCACGATAATGTTTACCTTCACCAGTGTCAGTGGTGTCTAAATAATCGTAGAAAGTACATATAACTCGGAAAAAGTCACATTGGTGCTTACCAGCACGTCGATTCTATAAAATTTGTTTGATTTTGAATCTTGTTCGAGTGCGAAGTGAGCGTCGAAGTGACGGGGATATTACATTATAGAATGCCACTTTTAACGTCATCTCATACTTTATCTATCAATATGTTGCTGTCAATTTCAACTTGCAAGTGTAGCGCTAGTGTACTACTTTTCATAGCGGATTCAGATTCGAAGTTTAGAATGAAGTCTTACAGAATCACACCCCAGGTTTCAAACCCGCACCCTCATGCATGAAAATTAAGCAGGCGCGTTAACCTCTGGGCCACCACGACGTAATTTCAATTGTAGTTCCAAGTAATATTTATCATCCGAAAGGACCCAAAGTAATATGCATATGCAATTGCACATTATCTGGTCTCTACAGTTAATTATCTAGCAAGTGGCAACATAATGAGCTTAATTAATTTATGTTAGTGTCAAAGGAAGACATTTTAACTGTCGTTTGTATGCACATGATAAATGTTAGTTCTAGTGAGAACTATTTATCTATATTTACAAGCATAAAAATGAATCGCAAAATGTATATTGATGATGTCCGGCCACTGTGAGCGCGAGTCTGCGGACGGCGAGTAAGGGCAGCTCGCCGCCCAACCAGTACCAGACCGAGCGTACGGCGCGTAGCGTTCCGCGCGCGCCTAAAAGGTCCATTAGACCACCACAGACGGAGCCCTATAGGGCTGATGTTCAGCAGGAGTTGCAGGTTTAGCGCAATGAGTCCACCGCGGCCTCGGCCCAGAGCAGGAGAAGGAACGGGGGGTTTTTAGTCAGTAAGAGTTTGACACACTCTCTCGCCTTACCCTGGGCGGGAGAAGTCATTTGATGGTTACCCCTGACAAAAAAAAACGTATGTGATGCCATCTAGTGGCAATAATTAGTACCAAACTTATTGTAAGAATATGTCAAATATATAATAAAAGACAATCTTTTGAAGCTACTCTCTGGTTTTATTTATTGATGTGTTGATAAGCATAACTCAGTAACGCCTGGACCAATATTAAGAATATTTTTATTGTATTTGTTATCATTCATATCATTCTTTAAGTACCAGTCAACCTTTGGGCTAAGTACGGAAATCAGCGAAAAATAGGTACGCGAAATATGTTTTGTTAAAGAGAAAGTTTTTATAGAATAGAATAGAATAGAATTCATTTATTTGCATTTTATTCTATTCTATTCTATTGTATTCTTATGAAAGAAAGCTTTAGAAAAGTAGATGAGGACATTGGGGTGAAGCGAGACTTTGGTTGACATACACGTTGTCGATGTACTTGGAGATCTGTTTAAAGCAGGGACTGGTCACTAGTCTATAAAAACTTGTATAAATTAATCTCTTATACTCTTGGTCAAGACATCGTCGTGATCGTCATCTGATCATTGTTTTTACACGCTATATGTTTTATTTTGAGGGGGGAAAATAAGAAAGAAAGAAAGAAAGAAAACACATTTATTCGACAAAATCATCAAATGTCTTCTCTGGCCTAGGGTAAGGCGAGAGGTAGTGTCAGACTTAGTTCATTTTCAGGCGAGGTTGCGGGGCAAGCGCAATAAGTCACCGTGGCCTCGACCTAGAGCAGGAGTAAGAACGGGCGGGGTTTTTGGTCAGTAAGAGTTTGAGAATCCTTGAAAGAAGCCATATCATGATTTTCCCTTCACAAAAAAAAAACACTTGGACTTGACTTCCTTTCGTTCTTTTCCGGGCCAGAGCCGTGACACATTATTGTACTTGTAACCGAAGCCCTGGCTGGTGTTTGAACACCATGTAACTAGTCTATAGAGTTACCTTCTTAGCGTTAAAATTACATATGTTGGTACAACTCAAAAGTAAACACACGAAAGTTTAGGTGTTATTGTAAAACGAAAGCATATCTATAAAATGTGTAAGAGCACTATAAAATCGCACGGTAACTGTTAAAATATTTTCGCGTTACATACAAGCATACATACAAACTTACATACATTAGATACGTGTTGTATAAAAACTTCGACAGACATAGCAACACAGCTGTTAAAACAATTGCAATGATTCAAGGCTGCACCTACTGATTTCAGTTAGAAAATGGTTTAAATAAATTATTGCACTTCTTTGTGGGAGATTACGCTTCGCCATCGCGGTGTAATACCACGGCCTTATAGAAAATCGGCGTGAAAATATACCATACCATTTAAGTGTGGGAGAGCCATGCTTCGGCACGAATGGGTCGGCTCGGCCGGAGTGACACCACGGCCTCACAGAAAACCGGCGTGAAACAACCACAACGTTGTGTTTCGCTGTGTGAGTGAGGTTACCGGAGGCCCAATCCTTCCCCTACCCCAATCCCTTCCCAATCCCAAAATCTCCAAAATACCAAGCCTTAAAGGTTGGCAACGCACTCGTAACTCCTTCTTTGTTGCGGGTGTCCATGGGCGACGCCGATTGCTTACCATCAGGTAATCCGTCTGCTCGTTTGCCGTCCTATTACATAAAAAAAAACATACATCACTCGTGTTGTGTTTAGCCGTTTGAGTGAAGTAATATAATCCTTTTTTAAATGAATACAACAGCAAACTACTAAATACGTAAATGGATTACCTGATGGTAAGCAATTAGCGTCGCCTATTGACACAAGCAACAACGTAGGAGTTACGAGTGCGTTACCGACCTTTTGGGGAGGGATAAGGATTTTTTTGACTTACTACTTGATCTATTCGTGCTTAAGCATGACTCTCCCACCCTTAACTGAGGTCCGAAATTCCTTCCTTCAAGGTTGCCAATCAACATGTAACGTTGTAACTCTGGGTGTGGTGAATTGTGGTGTGACACTCCGACGATCTGATTCGAAAAAAATTGTCGATAATCTATATACATCTATGTTCCTATACTATATTATAAAGATAAAAAGTTTATTTGAACGCAATAATCTTAAGGAATTAAGGAATGACTATTAGGAATTACGAATTAGTAGTTGCTACTTCTAAAATGTTAATCATTTAGTAGAATTGGTCGTTTAATTTTAAAGAAAATAATATGTCACAATTGTTATTAAGCTAAATCTAATTAATTGTAATTGTATTATGTTTGGCACTGGTTTATAATAATACTCGTATTGGTAACAGTATAAAATCAAATCTATAACTGTTCATAACTATTATATTATAACAACTAGCGCCACCTTTTATTGAGTAAAAGAAGCAGGCCGCGATCTATTTGATCGATACAAACACCGCCATCTCTTACGACTACCCCGAAACACTAAAAGCTTCAACTTTCAAGATCGACGCGCGAAATTTCGACACGAGTAAACTGAACGGCGCGTTTATTTCTGCGCCTAACCAGCGTGAACTTGGGGCTGTACAAAAATAGTTACCAGTTTGACATATGGTGGAAACATGTAGTTTTTATTTTGAATATCGCCTCGCGAATTTAATTTTATGTATTATAAACCCGTGTCCCGTTAGATGACAGTAAAAATGGATCCAGGGTAAATATTCTGACCGGCTTTTCGTGCATGTATGCTATGAATTTTGCAAAAGGCGTTGGTTCCGAATGTTTTGATTCGTCATAACCTCACATTGTGTGTTTTTCTTGCGTTTTTTCGCTCATTTAATGGGGATCTGTTTTATATTTAGAGAGTTTTACACGTTTATATTGTACTTTTGCTCCAGTCTTGCATAAGCATGGATAGAGATCCATATTCAATGAAACATTTTTGTATGATTTTCTGTGTTTTTATTGAATATGAATACACTATATTTAATTTTCTATCACAAACCTTATCTATCTTTATTTGAAGATGCGCTTTTTATCTCTGTTCATTAAGTTTATTATTACAAGGTCGTATGTTTACGTTAATTCTGGAAAAGCTGTTGTCTTTTTTTTATATTAAACTCGTCAGAAATAGCTTCGCCAATCACTTGCGAAACATCCTTTACCCTCTTTGTGTGCAACTTATTAATAACAACTTGCTGCAAGGTTCAACGATGTGTGCATAATAATATCCTTAAAATAGAAGTAGCTTAGGAGAGGCCTATCTTTTTATGGATATAATTTTAACGTATAATTTAAAGAGAAGAAAAATGTAAAGGCTAAATAATGATAGGACCTTACATGTCTTGTTGGTCTGATGGATGCACGTCATCATTATCAGTTGATTCTTTGACAAGCCTGCCTCAACCTTCTAAAACCGGAGCAACTCCTGTACTAAGCCAGTATCTAATGTAGATACATTTATGAAACCACTGATACACTTAAGTACGGCGCGTCCCAGTGACTTGAATAACCGTCTTTTTTACGCTGAAAGATCTTCAAATGATTTGTCTCGCCTAGGGTAAGGCGGAAGTGAGTGTCAGACTTACTGAATAAAATCTCCCACGTTTCTTCTCCTGCTCCAGGCTGAGGCCACGGTGTACGGGTTGCGCTTGGTCTGCAACCCCAGCAACTGTTTTTATAACGAAATATATCAGTTGATTTGAGGAGAACAATAACTAATTAGTTTTTAATACCCTTGGTGAATTGAATGCAGGATTGTCAGAACATGACTGTCCATTGCACTTATAAAACAGTCCTCCTCTGTTTGATTGTAAGATTCCTTTTCTATGGTTGATGTACTAACAACTTCTTGCTAGGATAATTATTTATTAGTCTATACTTATATATTTTAAATATTGTAAAGATGTCGAGTTTGTTGGTTTGTTTGAACGCGCTAGTCTCCAGGACTACCGATTCGAATTGAACAATTCTTTTTTCTTTCTTTCTTTCATTTATCGAAGAAGGCTTTAGGTTATAAAACATTATGCTACGATTTGTAGGAGCCGAGCAGCGGGTGAAACCGCGCGAGAATAGCTAGTTTAACTATAAAATTACCTTTCTCCTACTTTCAATTTTTTTGTACTAATATTTTATGTAATTTTTCCTATTTCAGAGGCAGTTCCAGTAGGCTGGGTGAGCACCGTGACCCTCACTGGTACATCGACTCGGCGTACGCATCGTCCCTCAAAGTCTCGCTCCGTTTACCCACCAGACAGTTTTTAGAAGGTAAATACAGATTTTAATTGATTTTTTGGAAATACACAGCCTTCAGAGGCACATTAGTAGGTATCGGAACAGTAAAAATTGGTTTTTTGGAACAAACAGCTTGACACAGTTACGCAATAAAATAATCTAAGAAAAGCGCATAAAAATCTTGTCTAGAAACCGAATTTTATTCGTCCAGCGAAAATTTTAGACACAGATGTATCTACCTGAGCAACTAATATGGATTGGAGCTCTGTGTAATAATAATACCTGGATTTTTAGACTTCTACCATCCCTGGTTTCGTCAAAGCGATATCAGAAGATATATATTTGGTATGCTTGTTTGAAATCCCACTACTTGCAATCAAAGATTACTAAATAACTTTGACTGCAGTTTTATTCGAGTTTTAATTGTAAACCTCTATGTATTGTTTCGTGTCTTGATTCTGTGTAATGCATATGAAAAATACGTTGACATGTTTGTGTCCATTTTGTTTGTGTCCGTCCTTTGACTGTGTGACTTATTTTAAACATTGCATTAAATAGCAAAATAATGCGCAATGCGCAATATTGTCGAGTTGAGTGTGAAGTTTTGATTTTGTGGTTTGAGTTAAGCGCCATCTATTGGATTAGTGTGGAATTGAAAAGAAAAGTGTGCGTTGGTGGCGATGGCGTGCACGTGTTACTTGTGAGTTTCGTTAGGTTGATACTAGATGGCGTTGTTATCCAAAGATTAATATACGGGTGCTTTTTTAAATATTGTAAACGAAGAAAATGCAGGGAATACGATTCTAATAAAACAATTTGGTGAATTTTTCCAGTTATAATATACTTACTGAAATATTTTTTCTTCATTATTAATTAACGACTTACTTAGTATGATCTTCTATCTTGTGTACTTGTTATAAATATCAAAGATTATTAATAGTTCACAATAATTTCAATAAAATTGGAGACACATCTCTTTTCTGTACAAATATTTTTGTAACTTTCGCATTTCATGTTTAGATACAACATATAATTACGCGGTTATTACCGCGAAAAATAATTAATTAAATACCTTGGTACCATGTTTTCGAGATATATGCTATTTATTTATTTGGACAGTCAGTAGTTGTTACATTAATTCGTCTTAACTTAATATTAAAGCTATAAATGATATGGATCAAGAGAGATAATTTAAAAAGTGTGGGAGAGCCATGCTTCGGCACGAATGGGTCGGCTCGACCGGAGTGATACCATGGCCTCACAGAAGACCGACGTGAAACAACCACAGCGTTGTGTTTCGCCGTGTGAGTGAGGTTACCGGAGGCCCAATCCTTCCCCGCCCCCAATCCCTCCTCAATCCCTAAATCTCCAAATCCCTAATCCCTAAAAGGTCGGAAACGCACTCGTAACTCCTCCGTTGCGGGTGTCCATGGGCGGCGCTGATTGCTTACCATCAGGTAATCCGTCTGCTCGTTTGCCGACCAATTACATAAAAAAAAGTAAGAACTTTGTCCCACACAGTGTCAGACTCTTACTGACCAAACCTCGTCCCTTCTCCTGATCGAGGCCGAGGCCTGTCCCGCGGTACCTTATTGCTCTAGGCCCGCAACCCCGGCTGAAGGTGCAGTTCCATTGAGGTGGAGCGGACATCCACATCTCAGAGAATGTCAAGCCATGTGATTGGTGAATCGCGGCTCAGCTCTTCCCCGCTCCGCCTCAATGGAACTGCACCCTGAATGTTGCATGGGGCTGCTGGTAAGCTGGTCATCCAGTCACAGTGATAACTGTGCAGTGAAAAGATTAAAAAACATTGGTTTAAGTATAAATAGGTACGCATTGGCTATAGAACACATAGACATTGTGAGATTCAAATAAAAATATATTTTTTTGAAGGCCAGTAAGTTGTGGTATCTTATGGCCAGTAACTTGGTATATATTTATGTGCCAAGTAGTATCTATCATCATCGTCAGCCTATAAGTGCCCACTGCTGAGCAAAGGCCTCTTCTCAAACGGAGAAGGTTAGAGCATTAACAACCACGCTTGCTCAATTCGGGTAGGCGATTTCAAACTTATAAATTATAAGTCCAGATTTCCTCACGATGTTGACCTTCACCGTAAGTCAGTGGTGTCTATATAATCATAGAAAGTACATATAACTCGGAAAAAGTCAAATTGGTACTTGCCAGGTTTCGAACTAACACCCACATGCATGAGAAGCGGGCTCCTTAGCCTCCGGGTCACCACCACAAAATATACCCACCATAGTAGTATCTATATCTATCGGTAATTTCAAATCACTATAATTTCTCATGATACGCATTCGACGCCTCCTGTGGACTGGTGGCAATACCTACCATAGTAATGATAAGTGCATATCCGACCTTTTGTATATCGTTAGAAATTTGAGGATTGGAGATGGGAGGGGGGGGGGGATGTTCTTCAGGTAACCATCCTCATACGGCTGGTTTTCTGTGACGTAGTATAATTCAGTTCGAACCTTCTATTGATGTCAAAGCGTTTCTCTGCCCACATTTATAATTATTTTAAAGTTGACAGCTTAAAACGATTACAGCGCCACCAGTGTATTTTAAATGTAAAGTTTTTAATATTAAAAAAAAAAATCCAAAGAATATTTTAAATATCTAAACATTCAAATCACTAAGCTTAGCAACAAAAAATCCAAAATGTTGATACTAATTGGACATCGCGCGATAAATTCACAAATATATTTATATTCGTAGCTAAAATCCAAAATGTATAGGCAATTAATAATGGCTAGGAAGAGTTGTAAAATAAGAAAAATCATAATCTTTCTCTTTTTGTGAGACAACATGTATTTAAAATAAGGTGTCTTTTACAACGCTGGAAGCTATATGACGATTTTTCTTGGCCCTATCCCAATTTCTCTGGAGTTAGCATTAAGTTTTCGCTAGACAAAACATAACGACTGTTATTAATTAATGAGGTGGGCAATGTAATAGGCTTACGGATTATATTGTACAGCCATTTAAATATATTTTTAGTGTCTGTAATATTATCTGTAATATAAAAATGAATCGCGAAATGTATCGCTAACCGCAAATCTTGAGAACAGCTGAATCGTTTTCGATAATTTGTGTTTCGTTGTATTTATTATTGTAAGGATAAGGTTGTTATGAAAAAAAGGCAGGATAGATATGATGGGGCAGAACAGAATAGCAAATATAGTCATGGCGAACAACTTTAATTTTAAAATAATTAAAGTTTTTGCAATCAAACGCTCTAATAGTGTGTAGTGTAGTGCTATTCAACTTTTGGTTTTGCTAAATATAAGAGATATATATATACCTACAGTTAATTTTAATGGAGAACCACTTATTTAGATGTAGATAACAACAAAAAAAACTATCTTAGCTCAATTGCATTCAGCGCGACCTCTGCCCAGAGCAGGAGAAGGAACAGGAGGGTTTTTAGTCAGTAAGAGTCTGACACTTCCTCCCGCCCGGCCCTGGGCGGTAGAAGTCATTTGATGATTTTCCACTCACAAAAAAGCTCCATTGCATTCATGAGAACTTCATAACATAGCATTAATCGCCTATCGACATTAGACATTGGAGATTCGTGCTTCGGCACGAATGGGCCGGCTTGAACGTAGGGATACAGCCTTAAAGAAAACCGGCGTGCAATACGCATATCTGTTGTGTGTGTGTGTGAGGTTATTGGAGGTCCAATCCTTTAACCCAAAACCCAATATTCGAATCCTAAAATCCCTAACAACGCACAAAAAGCTAGAAAGAAACTTTGACCTCCTTTGGTATAACAGGTATCCATTTCATCATATCGTGGTGCCCATCCATTATGTGCACTTTAAATAATATTTTTAGTTTTATTTGAGTTTCATCGTCACGGAGCATTTAGATGACACTTCCTTAGCCAATAGGTGACGGCGCAAAAATGTGGCAATTCTGGCAATATTATAATTGAATTATTGTTCTGGATCTGGGATGTGTATGTCTGATTGCAAACGCATCCACAAAACAGGAGTTTATTCAAGTGTATTGTAAAGTAACCTAAGTTATTTAAAAAAGGAAAAAGAAAATTAATATCTAGTTTTTCGAAAATTTCTCAGAGTTATTCCAAAACCCCATAATATGCGCTTAGAGTGTTTTAGTAAATATTTTTTTTTATTTAAAAAAAACGTGTGTTACTCGTGTTTGTTCTCAATGTAACATACAAAGAATAGAAAATATAAAAAATAAATTGTCAGTCAAGTTTAAACATCAGCAGAAATTATTTTCATAATTTTGTTGCTGATAGTTGAAATTTACTTAACGTACTAGTCACTCACATGCGGTTTTCTCCGCTACTCGGCACCATTGATGTTTTACAATAGCTACCAGGAACATTGTAGCTATCTAATCAGTGAAAGATTTCCGGAAAAACGATCAGCGTTTCTAAGGATTACCCCCTACATACAAACTTACAAATTACTCTTCATAATATGAATAAAAAAATAGGACGAGTCAAACACCGAACTCCATTGACAAACCAAGGATTTTCGGCGACAGATTCCGACTGAAAAAAAAAAACACGCTAAGATCTGTCATGAATTAGTAATTACATATTTTATGCGTTAGACGAATTTAATGAACGATTTGTCATCGGCAATGATCTCTGACGAGCAGTCATCCGGTAAACATCGCTCTGGATTTTGAATAGATTTTTAATATGTATTAAAATAAAATTTATTTCTTCGAGCTTATGTTCAAACCTTCTCCATGTGAAAAGAGGCGTATGTATTTAATGGCTAAGGATGTGATAGTTCTGATAGGGGTAGACGTGTTCTAAAGTGGAGACCATGTCTGGGCAAACGCAGTATGGGGCGCTCTCCAGCTAGGTTCACAATCCATCATGAGCTGAACATTGAGGTCTATGGCGTGCTTTGTAGGGACAGCCAGCCAGCAGTGGACAGAAACAGGCGATGATGATGTGATAATTTAGTCATTGTTGATACAAACACATTACATCATTATCCAATAAGTGCCTACTGCTGAGCAAATACCTCTTCTCTACGCTTGCTCAATGTGGTTGTTTTATGTACCATTACTATACTCTTTAGTAATAACTTGGTTTCGAAAACGTTTTTTGATGCATGAGAAGTAGCCCTTAATAGGTCATCACGACCTAAATATAATTACATAATATTATGACACAAGACAGACATTTAAGTGTGGTCGGCTCGACCGGAGTGATACCAAGGCCTCACAGAAAACCACCGTGAACCACAGTGTTGTGTTTCGCCGTGTGAGTGAGGTTACCGGAGGCCCAGTCCTTCCCCTCCCCAATCCCTAAATCTCCCAAATCCCTAACCCCCAAAAAGGTCGGCAACACACTCGTAACTCCTCTGTTGTTGCGAGTGTCCATGGGCGGCGCTGAATGCTTACCATCAGGTAACCCGTATCCTCGTTTGCCGACTTATCACATAAAAAAACATTGATGATATTGTATTTCAAATCCTGAATAAATGTTATTTTGAAAGTATTACCTAACCATGTTCTAAATAACCTAAATTCTTTAATGATCGAAGACTTTTGCGCCTGTCTGTACCTACATTTGACAAACTACAAAATTATTGCGTTGACAGCAAAGTGAATTAGCTAATGAATGATAGTTTAATGTATATTTGATCAGCGGAACGACCTCGTTGGATGCTGTCGCACGCGCAACTAAATTGAAACAGTAAAGAAAAAGCTGCTTTCCGAAACATATTAGTACGGCGTCTGATAATTAATTAAGGGTGAGGCTTATTTTTTAATTTAAGCCATAAACTTAAATAATTTAATCCGCTAAATGTATTGTCATAAGATTTTTTTTTGTTCTTTCTTAAAAAAAAACGTTGCCCCACATTAGGATTTTCTCCTGTGTCGTGGGTGCGGTTGCAAACATACAATTTCACATACACATGACACCCAGACCCGGAACAATAATTTGTGGATCACACAAAGAGTTGTTTCATGCGGGAATCGAACTCGCGACACGTTGCACGGCAGCCAGTTGCCCAGCCACCGCGCCAACTGTGCAGTCAAGATAAGATAAGATTGGGTGTTATAATACTTTGAAAATGGTACTATAGAAAATTATCGCATTTATCTGACAATAGGCGTTTTTTGATTGACTCAAACCACCCCTTTCCAAGTCATTTTTTGATACATGCTCCTGTTTGTCAATGCAACCAGTATCCCCGTCCAGCCACATGGGAGCCACGTCTTCGGTGTTCTGATAGATCTTTAAATTACAAGTGGAACGCCTAGCATGACCATTAAAAGTGTCAATTTTATTTTATTTTAAAAGAAAACGTTGCTCTATACTAGGATTTTCTCCAGTGTCGTGGGTGCGATTACAGATATACAATTTTACACACACATCGCACGCAGACCACACAAAGAGATGTTCCGTGCGGAAATCGAACCCACAAAAAGTTCGACCATTAAAAACTAGGCGTTAAATTTTATTCTATCTACGACAGCCTTTTTTTTCCAGCTGAGAAAAATGCCTTACGCATACACACACCGCCTGAGGAGACGGTGAGGTTATGTGGGGCTTGCACCCACTAAAAAACTCAGCTTTCGTGCCGTCTTCTGCCTTTTGGGAGAAGCCACGAGGACCAAAAACGACT